GGGGGAGGCGAGCCTGACGGGCGCAAGCGTGGGCGGCCGCGGAGTGCTTCCCGATCCCTTTCGAGGCCGCGTGGGGGGCGAGAGCAGCGCCCTGTCAGCGGCGGCGGCGGCGGCGGTGGCGGCGGCGGCGGCGGCAGCGGCGGCGGCGGCGGCGGCACGCGCGAGGCGGAGCGTGCGCCCTTAAGGACGCACGAGCGGGAGCGGGAGCGGGAGCAGCCGTCCGAGCGCGACAGGGAGCGTGGCCGCACAGAGAGGGAGCGCCTGCCGCCGCCGCCGGCAGCGGCGCCGCCGGAGAGAGAGCGGGCCCCGGCCGCGCGGGCGCCGCCGCGCGCGGCGGCCGAGGCGCATCCGCGCCCGCACCCGCCGCCGCCGGCAGAGGCGGACCCCGCCTTCACCGCCGGCCGCGTATTCAACCTCATCCCATCTTCTGTCGCAGAGGAGTGCGCCCGCAGGTGCGCCGGCGGCTTGTGTATTCTGGGCTTGCCCCTCGACCCCGCATCGGGCCGGCCTGGTTTCATGAGCTGCAGCAACCATCGCGGGCGTTGCGACGCAGCGCGGCAGCCCAATGACAGCCACCGGCCGTTGCCAACGCGCCTTTGTCGCCGCCGGCACCTCTGGCAGCTGTGCCCCGCCTTTCTCAAACTCCTCACGACCCCATCCCCCTTGTCGTCACACCACCCCCAACACCTGCGCGCCATGCCGTACTGCGCCGGGCCGCCGCCCCAAGCAGGCGCGTCCTGGTGTCGTCCCGCAGCGAAGACACGCGGCAGCTGCCGCCCAGCGCGCTGCTCTTCATCTGGGACATACAGGCCAAGCGCCTGCGCGGCGCGTGGCGCGCGGCGGGGCGCGCGGCGCAGGACGATCTGGCGGCCTCGCGGCGTGAGGCGCCGGGGGGCCTGCCCTATCAGGTGGGGCCGCCGATGCTTGCGTCGCCCGCAGCCCCTGCGCGCGGTGCCCGCAGCCTGCCGCCAGCCTGCCGGCGGGCTCTGGAGCTTTCGCTCGCGTCACAGCCCCTACCCCTTCGGCTTTAAAGCTTGCATGCCTAAGGCAACCCCAGCCTCTCAGCCTCGCCATCTCATCCTTGGACCGCTGATGACTCAACAACGCCAGGTGGCAGTCGAGCCCGTCTACGAGTTTGACTCATGTCTGGACAGAGGGGCGGCCGCGGACATTTTGATCGTCCAGAAAGACCGGAGGGGCGGCGAAACGGACGCATTCAAGGTGCGGGGGGCGCCGCGCGCGGTGCGCCGCGGGCGCATCATGCACCACGGGACCGTTCCTTGTGTGGCTGGGTGGCTGGTGTTGGGTGCACATGCCCTTGCGATTGTCTGTGGGTGTGTGCATGCATGCAAGCACTATTGTCAGGTCGGGACACAAGTCCGCTTCGCTCGGCCCGTGCTCCGCGTCCGGCGACGGCCCCCCGTGCCCCAACGCAACTCCAATGCAGTCTGAACGGGCCCTCTGCGCGGACGCGTCTGCAGCCGCGCTTCTGCCCATGGCTACCCTGTGCTGCCCCTGCCCGCCACAACCATCATGCGCACCCTCCCTCTTTCTGTCCACCACGACGCTCGCAAACACCCCGGACTGGTCTGGACTGGCCTGGACTGGACTGCGCAGCACATCATAAGCCAAAACCAGGCGAACCAGCTCTGGCGAGCGCTGGCGCGGCGGCATGGCGGAGAGCAGCCCCGGGGACAGGCCGACGAGGCGGCGCGGCGGCAGCGGCGGCGCGACGACGGGCGGCAGGACAGCCGGGCGTCGCGTGAGGGCGCGTGATTTTGTTCGCCCTGCAGTGGTCGGCTTCGTGACGGCCGACGTTTGCTGCTTCGGTGGATGCTTTGCAACCATGCCTTTGCAAGTGCAAGACGCATCACGGTGGTGTTTCTCGGGACACGACATGGCAGCACAGATACCAGCAGCTGTTTTAGAGCCTGTGTGGCTGGAAGTCTGGGGTCAAATCAAGCCGGAAACGCTTGCATCCGATTTGCCGGCGTGGCGACCAGCCACATGACCCCACACCCCGTCAATAGCAACAGGAGGCAGCATGCATCAAATGCCGCTTCCCACGGGGCGCCTCCGACCAAGGTGCGGTCTGCGTACGCATGAGCCTGCACCTGACCAGGCAGGATCACTACCTGCTACTCAGCCTGCTGGCGGGGCATTCATCGCCGGCGCATTGCGCATGCTCATCTGTCACATGCAACATCAGCCCTTGCAGCTTGCAAAAACAGCCCCTCTCAGACGCGCGCTCGCGCTCCGCTTACAGTCATTCTGCATCCGTTGCTCTGAGACTGTCAAACACACTACAAAGGGCTCTCCGCAGTCCTGCTCTTGGTCTTGGCCCATGGCCCTAAACTCGGAGTCTGGTATTGGCTATCGTGCTCGTCCCCCGCCTTGAAGCCTGCTCCACCGCTGCCGCCGCCGCCGAAACTCAGGCTTCCATTGCTCCCTGTGCTAGAC